TGCCCCGGGGAGGGAGGCCCGCTGACATCAGCCCCCGGGAAGCTGGGCCGCCGGGCACTGGCCCGGGCCCGTTCAGTGCCCTGAGGATGCGGTGATTGGGACCCGCTCCCCCCCGGGAGGGGCGCCGCCTGCGCTGGGGACTGGGTGCCGGGGACGGGCGGCAGGATGCTGTCCGAGCAAGCCCAGAAGTGGTTCCCGACCCACGTGCAGGTCACGGTGCTGCAGGCCCGAGACCTGAGGCCGAAAGGCAAAAGTGGCACCAATGACACGTACACGATCATTCAGCTGGGCAAGGAGAAGTACTCCACCTCCGTAGCCGAGAAAAGCCTGCAGCCCGTCTGGAAGGAAGAGGCCTCCTTCGAGCTCCCCGGCTTGCTGGTGCAGGGGAGCCCCGACAAGTACATTCTGGTCCTCACAGTGATGCACAGGTCCCTGGTGGGGCTGGATAAGTTTTTAGGGCAGGTGGCAATCAACCTCAATGACATCTTTGAGGACAAACAAAGAAGGAAAACAGAGTAAGTTGTGTCCTTTATTTGGAATTTGGGGGAGCTTCGCTATGTCTTCCTTACGGATTTTCTGTTCTTGGAAATTATTGGTGCAATCTGGGGCATTGGTTTTCGGGCTACATGACCCAGTTTCAGGCACCGTAGGTAGTGGCATGACTTGGAAGTAAAAATAGCCCTTGTGAAGAAACAGTTTTTAAATGGCGCCTTCAGGTGGTCCCTTTACTCTCCTTTGTGCCAAGTGTTCATCTTAAATGATTGCGTATGTTGCACTGGATTGTAAGTACAAGAAGACTGGATCCCAGTGTTGACCAGCTAACACAACACGTGGGTAAATTGTTGTCTTTCAACATTACACACTTCCAGGAGATGGAATAGCAGAGAACTAAACCTGCCAATATAATGCCATATATCTGTGTCGAACTCTGAAGCTGCTAAAAGATAAATGATCAGATTTAGAACTCAGTATGTCATTTCAACATTATAATCACAGTGGCCTTTATTTGAGTGCAACCATTTTTTTTTTTTTTTGTAGTAAGAACATCTTAGTGGTGCCTAAAGGCGTTCAAAGAGAACAAACACCCTCAACTTGAACACACTAACATTTTCCTTTGAATTTCCAAAATATGGGAGCTGCTGTATTACTTCAGAATGAGTTATGCAAAACCAGTGTGTTTAGATCATATTAAATGTCATATTGGAGACAATGATTAAATTCTGGTGATGAAATGATGTAATGACACCTTCCATGAAAATGTGGCTTTTGAGCTTAGGCTAAATATATCCTAATTTAAAAAGCCATAATGTAAGTTAACACTGGGATGCTATGTCTTACAGTGAAAAATAGTATGTTTTCAGAGATAGGTATATTTACCCCTTCTTCAAACATAACTTTTCTGTTCTGAGAGAACATTATAATTGATGGAATTAATGAGAGAACAATATAGGTTGAATTTATGAGAGGAATTGAAATTTAACAAAATAGCCTTGCTGTTTATTTCAGTGATAACTGAAATTTATGCTTTTAGAAACTTTTTCATAATGGTAACTTTCTTGACACTAAATTTACGTTAATTTCTTATTTTAAAACAACCAACTCTTGTTTTTGCCTATGCGTTTCTTCCTGCAAGCTTTGCTTGATTGGAATTTTTATTTAAAAAAGTTTTCCATCAGATCTTGACCTAAGATTTAATGCACAGGGTAAAAGGGTGGAGAGATAAGAAATACTAGGCATGTAAGACAAACAAAGGTAAATATTTAGATTAGTTAAGGATATGAAAACATTGTGAGAGAAAGGGTATTTAAAAGTATAAGGTTGAGTATGTATCAGTGATTTTAATAAAACTGTTTGATACCTACAAAGTGGCATTTCGTTTCCTCTGAGGGATTTATCCAATTTAAATTGAAAATGGATAATTATCAAATAGTTTGTTTCAAATTACCAATTTTGGATGACACTATGTAATATTCAAAGTGTTTTGAGTGTAAACTTGTAAGTATATTGTAACTTCAGATTTCATACTGCATTGATAGTACTTCTACTGCGATGAATGATGTATCACAGGCCTTCCTCTAATGTAGATTTGCCAAGTGAAAGTAGGCCCGACTGTGAACCCAGAGATGCAGAGGATGAAACACGCTTTTAAAGTTTCTCCTTGTTTTACTCCTTATTTTTGGCAACATCACAATGATAAAACATTTCGCTGTAAACAGTCACATTGTAGTCTCCCTATAGAAATTCCCTATTGGCTACTATACAAAATTGGTTAGAACTTTTTTAGGGGAAATGCTTAAAAATGTTATCAACAAGGCTTGCGATGTTATTGCATTCGAAGTGATTTTCATGTTATTAAATCCCTAACATTTTCTTTCTTTGTGGATAAATAGGGACTGCATATTAGATGAGGTATCTTTATTGGTAATATTTCTAGATTTTTAATATATTTAATAGCTTCCTTTTGCAGCACAGCTGTGCATGTGGCACAGTAAGAGACAGACTTGAGTCACTGGTGTATTGCAAGAAAGATATTTAATATTCTGCACAGTGCTGAACTTGTCAGCGTATTCCCAAGTGCTTTTTAGAAAACTGGTAGGAATGATGAAGGTTACCAGCTGAGTTAGAAGACCCATGAAACTGCTGGGTGTGACACTTTTTACCCTTGACACCGAAGACAAGTACTTACAGCTTGTCTTCCAGTTGTGTCATGATAGGCAAAGAAGTGTGATAGCTAAAACTATTATTTTACTTATTTTTATACCTTGAAGTTAAATACCTTTTTTTTTTTTAAGGAGGGTTGGGGGAAGGGGCCTGTGCCTGTACACTTGGAGCGGAGCATGAAAAAAGAACTGTACCTCCCCCTTTCATGGGTGTCTGGGTTGGTTCTGGCACAAGATTTAAGGAAATAATACAATGTTTAATAATAGAATGGTAAAATTGTTCCTGCTGTTATGTAATATCTATTGATTTTTTTTTTTTTACAACAGAAGTGCAGAAGTGGGTGATGTTGATTTATTTTATTTTATTTTTTTATGCTCGTGAAAGCAATAACAGTCAGTCCCCAGAGTTAGGTATGACTCAGACACATGCCGATTTGAGGACTTTTGTGTGTGTCTCCGCAGTGCACCTGCGCCCTGGCCTCTGGCACCCTTACTGCCAATCTTGTCCCAGTCTGACCACACAGCACCAATTGCTTGGGAATAGTTCCCACATGTGTGGTGGTTTTTGAACATGGACCTGTGCCCACTAAAAATTGAACAGAGGCCATATACAGTTTAAATCCAGCACTCAAGAGGTGAAAAAAATCAGCCATTAATCCACTAAGCCCCGAATGCTATGTCTTCATTTTATCTGTTTGAAGCCTGGGAAAACAAGTTTTATCTCGGGGGTGATTTTTGAAGGTCTCATTAAGACTTCCCTTTCAAAACAAAGCACCTAAAGTTATTTGTCATGCCTCTATTTTAAATTAGTATATTTAAAGTTCTTAGCAATATTTTGTGGAGGGGATAGGAGGAGGCTGGGGAATACTTCATTCTTTAAAGCTCATGTAAGTTTTTAGTGTTCCCTACAAAAAAGCAAAACAACGCAGAACCCACACATATGCACACACAGTGTGTTATAGCTTGGTTGTTTTAAAATACCATTCTAGAAATAATTCAGTTGACATTTATGTAGTGCAAGGTGAGCTGAGCTGCCTTCATGAAGCTTACACTCTGGTGTAGGATGCCTTGCCTTCTTTGGCTGTCAATCTCCTGATTAAACAGAGTGCCAGTAACATATGGCCAGCTGTGCATTTAATCTTATTAACGTATATGGTTCATCAAATATGGAAGAACTTCTGTTTTCATGCAGATGTTATTCATCAGCCTTGGCTATTTTCTTTATTGATTTTAACTCGACATTGGAAGTTACTTACATTCTCTGTGCCTCATTTTCCTCATCTCTGAAATAAGGATATTAAAGTAGGAGATTTATTTGTCTTGTTTGTAAAATTCTATGAGTTTTGATTATCTTTACCCCCTTTCATTTATTGGGTTATTGTTTCACTTTTTTCTCAGTTTGCTTTGACTTGTTACACATGTGAAAATCCTACATGCTTGGTTTGTTTTGGGGTATATTTCTAACAAAGTGTACTCACCTATTTTCTGTAAAGTCTGAGATGCTACTGAGTATTTCTGCAGTGTCATTCATCAGAAGTGTTTCTCTCCCATTGAAAACGATTCTGTTTTCCAAATTCTAAGTTAGTAACTGGGTATCTAACCTTTTCTCATTTCCAGAATTTTCGAGTGCCCAAGTTTGTGTTCAAGGTTCTGTATTCCACAGAGTTTATTGCTGTCAGTTCTAGCCTCTACATCTTCAGATTTTGCCATTTGCCTCAGATAAAGGATTTTTCTCAGTTTAGGGTATCCGGTTGATGCTTTCTATTATGAAATATTCTTTTATTTTAAAAGTTGCCTGTTTGGGTGCAGCTAGATCTTAATTGGCTGAATTGCTTCAAGTTAATTAAGAAAATATTTCTCTTGCATGTTACTTGCTAAAGTGTAGCTGGGATGTAGGTTCTGTGCCAGTTTTCTCTCCTGCCTGGAAAGACCAGTCTTCCACGTGCTGTACAGTAAATATACCTTCTTCTGGCATATCCTGTTAGTAACAATGAGAGAAAGCACTAATGTAAAATTAGACCAGAGCGCCTTTGTAGCTAAGAAAATTTGTTACACTTGATTAGAGCTGTGTTTAAATAATAACCCGTCTGCAGGAATGGATATTGTGCTTCATTGTGAAGTAATGTAAAAACATTGTAGAAACTTTTCTAGACTGGATTTTGCAGTTTTTTGGCTGTTTGCCCTATAGAATGATCACTGTGACACTGACAACTGGGGACTTTCTCATGGGTAAAACTACTGTTGAACAAAAGCAAAATAAACTTTGTTTCTTATACATTTTAACAGTGGGCAATGTCACACGGCGAAGTGACGAATAGCATAAGATTTGGCTCCAATTAAAATAATTTTTATTCAGTATTGTCACAGTAGCAATAGTAAATGAAACAAAGATTCTAACAGGAAGCATTTAAGCTTTCTCTTTTCTTCAGAAACTCTTTATAAGATTTATTACTATTTGTCACTTCCTGCATTTTATTCATTTTGCATTTTTTCCTCAGGAAAAGGCTTTGACCCGTTTTATATTCATCTAAATTACATCATATGCAATTTTCATGATTAATAAACCACATGTAGTGGCCTCCAGTATTAACAAAATTATTTTAATAGTTTTTATGGAAGAAATTTGGGGATGGAACTGTTTATTACTTTCTTAAAAATGTGGCCATTTGTCATTTTTATAGCGCCTCAAAATGGTTTGTATCAATGAATTCTTTCAAAGTCAGTATTTGAGTGTCTTTTAATTTTAAAACATGTTTTTAGGCCCTTAGCAACACTTACCCCAGATGGAAACATAACAGCTCTCATAGGTAAGAATTTTTTTATGTGAATGATTTTCAAATCATGAAAGAAAAGTTTATCTGAAATCCTTCTCAAACTAACTGGAAACCTACTTCTTCAATATACGTCACGTCCAGAGATAGTGGTAAGTTTTTAAAAACTGAACAATGAGTAAACCAGTAGTACTTTGTCGGGCAGAATCTCCTCCGTTGCATAGATTACCCTCATGTGCTTTACCCGAGAAGATATTTGTATGTAGCCACGCTTGATGTCCTCTCTTCATTACATGTTACAACCCAGTTTTTCCTTCTCTTTAAGGTGGTTTAGATTAGAATCCAAACAAGGAAAAAGAGCCAAAAACAGGGGTGAGATAAAGGTCAATATTCAATTCATGAGGAACAATATGACAGCAAGTATGTTTGACTTATCAATGAAGGATAAAACAAGATCTCCTTTTGCAAAATTAAAAGATAAGATGAAAGGTAGAAAAAATGATGGGACATTTTCTGATACGTCTTCTGCAATCATTCCAAGTTCTCACATGGTGGATGCCAATAATGAATTTTCAAGTGGTGAAGTACAGATGAAATCTAAACCAAAAAAGCCTTTCCTCCTGGGCCCTCAGCGCCTCTCCTCAGCGCACTCCATGTCTGACTTAACCAGGGCCCACGTGTCTTCTGAGAAACTGAAGCCTGGCACCGTTGGCCAAACGCATCTTCTCGGACGCCAGATAGAGGCCTTTGGAGCAGTGCCAGAAAGTGGTAGGTGACATCTTCTTCCTGGGTGTATCCTCAGTGGCCTGAAATACCCTTCTTAGTTTTTTAAAGTTTAACTTCTAAAATTAAAAAATAAAAATTACAGTTTCTTGGTAGTATTTTCTAAATTTAGTGATCAAATATTTATTGAATACCTACTATCCTCCAAATTGGTAAGTTGATTAAGGACAGAGCTTGTCTGCATTCAGTATTAGATGATGTTAAAAAAAAAGCGAGTCCCAGTCACTTTTCATGGCCTGGCTTCTTTTTTTAAAATAATGTTTTTTTATTGGTTGAATGATTTCAGAGAAAGAGAAGAGGGCCGGGGGGAGAAACAGGGAAACATTGATTTGTTGTTCCGCTTGTTTATGATTTATTGGTTGAATCTTGTATGTGCCCTGATGGGGCATCAAGCCCGAAACCTTGGTGTGTAGGGACAACCCTCTAACCACCTGAGCTACCGGCCAGGGCTTGGCTTGATTTTTTTCTGTTGCTTCTCCTGTCTGGGAAACCTGAAGCATAAATGAATATTCCATTTAATCAGAACGTTTCTAGAAAAAAACCTATGTTCAGAAGTAAGCAAGTAAATTTAATACTAATGTTGAAAAAAAAAGTTTGAGAATTTATGGCACTATCCTGCCAAACACAACCTCTAGCTTTGACATTATAGTCTGGTTTTTTTTTCTTTCTAAGGTGAGTAAATTCCTGATTGTCTAGCAATATACTAATTATTATTAGCCTACATACTCCAGATTGCTATACCATAGCATTTTTGGCTTGTTTTCTTTGGTTATTTTAAAGGTTAACTCTTTAAATAGCTAATTGCGCTCATTCTAAAAGCAGCAGTGTGCACACAGAGTGTGTCATAGTGTGATGTAATGTGTGACTGATTATGTACTGACTACAAAATTATCTGCAGGAAGTCTCAAATCTCCACACAGAAGAACATTAAGCTTTGATACTTCTAAAATGAACCAACCCGACCGCAGCGTGGATGAAGGTGCACCGTCTTTCGGAAGACAACATGACCCATTTACAAATGTGACGGCTTCATTACCCCAAAAATTTGCAACACTGCCAAGGAAGAAAAATCCATTTGAAGAAAGCAGTGAATCCTGGGATAGCAGCATGACTTTGTTTTCAAAACCAATTGAAGTAAGAAAAGAAAATAAAAGAGAGAAAAGGGAGAAAGTTAGCCTGTTTGAAAGAGTGACGGGAAAGAAAGATAGCAGAAGGTCTGATAAACTCAACAGTGGGGCAGCCGATAGCCCCAGTGACTTGAAATCACCTAATGCGTTTAGTGAAAATCGTCAGGACTATTTTGATTATGAGTCAACTAATCCGTTTACAACAAAATTCAGGGCTTCAAATATAATGCCATCTTCAAGGTAAGCTTACCACGGGGTAAGTTGTGCTGTTTGAGAAATATTGTACTTGAAAGTATCAAATACCCCCTTTAGAAATACTTGAATATTCTAAATTCCTTTTGTTTAACTTGAAAAAATATTTATCTTATTTTTCTAATTAATTATAGAGTCAGACAATGTTGCAAACATCTTTGGATTTGAACTTTTTATCTTAGAAGGATGAAAGATTCTGATTCCTTACCCTACGTTATTTCTACTTAGTGGGCCAATAGCAGCCCATGGGCTATTCCGTAAGAAATACTGGCTCAGGTATTATGGTTTTCATAGTAGGTGTTAACTGTCCTCATCAAATTGCTGTGTAGAAGTAGTTTTATTTGTGAATGTTTATTGGGATTCAGGGACCCTTGTTGGGCACTATAAATACGTCAGAAAATATCTATATAATCATTTATAGTCATAGAAATAATCACTATCATAAAGATTAGATTTGCAAAATCTGAGTTCTCAGTTGTGTAATGGTACTTTTCCCATTTCTTAGTGCAAGTTGGAACTATATACATTTAAGATTATGGATTTTGCAGAAGAGAAAGATGGAATAGCCAATTAAGGAACCGAAAACAAAGAATAAGATGAATTTATTGTGATTTTAAGCAGTTATCATAGAAGTGCATGGTAGAATGTTTGCCGTGTAACAGAAGTTTTTCCTCGAGGCACTAATGTATCCAGACCTCAGTGGGAATCCTGGCTTAGCAGCTCTGTGACCTCTGTAAACCTCAGCATCCCTCCCTTTGAAACAAAGAAAGTAATTCCTACTTGGTAGGGTTGAGTGATGATAAATGATAAAGTATAAGGTACAAAGCCAGGCCCCAAATAGGGAACCCATAAATGGTGGCTGCTATGTTGTATATTCTGTTGTGTCATATTTTATTTAAACAGTGCTTAATTTTGTCCCACTATAAATATAAACTATAGCATTGACAGTTAACCCCTTAGACCAGTGGTTCTCAACCTTCCTAATGCCGCGACCCTTTAATACAGTTCCTCATGTTGTGGTGACCCTCAACCATAAAATTATTTTCGTTTCTACTCCATAACTGTCATGTTGCTACTGTTATGAATCGTCATGTAAATATCTGATATGCAGGATGTATTTTCATTGTTACAAATTGAACATAAAGCATAGTGATTAATCACAGAAACAATATGTAATTATATATGTGTTTTCCGATGGTCTTAGGCGACCCCTGTGAAAGGAGCATTTGACCCCCAAAGGGGTCGCGACCCACAGGTTGAGAACCTCTGCCTTAGACTGTGCTCTCCCACCTCTCTATATATAATCTAACGATTCTTTGAAACATGCATTTAAACCTTTCAGAAGGAAGTGTGTATTTCTTTTATTTTCTTTCAGTAATGGGTATTTGCTGTGGCTTTAGAAAGTCTTGGTCAGTTTTCTTTATAGACTATAGAAAAAAGAAATTTATTTTTATCTTATGGCATTAATATTTTAATAAGGAGTCCATAGTTTTGATATGCTATTCTTAAATATTTTATTTTGGGATTTTACATAGTGTACTTTACATATTGCATTAAGCCCTAAATTATGGGGGTAAATAGAAATCCATTTGCATTTTTCTCCTTCCTTTACTGAACTTTTTTTGAAGACAACTGTCTAAGATAACTTAGAGATTGGGTAGTTTATATTATTTTAGAGTCAAAGAAAATGGGAAATGGTAGGAAAATAATGTTTTAAAATTATGGCAGCATATGGAAAAATAGGTACCCTCAAAGCTACACTGGCCCTACACTTGGGCTATTATTATGTGGACGGCCATTGGTTTTAAAAGTGAGTGTAGCATTTTGCCAGATTTAGGCTTTGTTTTTGGGTTACTTCAATATTAATGCGTTTTCTGTACAAATTAGACCTGTTTCATGTTATGTGTACAAAATAATTGCAAGCATATTAAAAACAATAGATTTTAAAACCTTAAGACTCCTTTTTTTAATATTCTCTTATCTTCATATTCTGTGAGATGCCAGAATTGAGAACAGAAACATTTGTAAGTTCTTGGGAAGTTACTCTTTTTGTGTCAAAAATCACCTTTGTGGTAAATTTAAAACATTTACAATGAAGTAGCTCTAATTAATAAGATTGATATAAACAGATCGAGGGAGCGCATGCCATTCCCATTGGGGGGAAGCAGCTTGTCCTCGTATGGAATTTGGGAGGATATGGTGGAGGCAGTTTTGCCTTTACAAAACAGCGGATGCCTGTTTATCGTCCAGTATCACCCCTCAGTTAGAGGGGACATTTTACATTCTCACACTAGCATCTACAAGTGCCTTTTGAAGCTATAGGCTCCCATCACTAGGACGCATGCTGTGCATTTTTTCCCAGTAGTGCTAAGTAGATCTCTACTGAGTTTCCTGGACCTCTGTGACAGGTTGTGGGAATGGGGACGGAGTTGGGGGTAAGATCTGTAGCCGTGGTGCTGAGTTTGTTCTCTGGATCGGCTGGCTCACCTGTGATGGCAGGTGCACAAGGACTGTGTGTTACCCTCTGAGTGAGTAATGCCATTACAACAGCAGAAATTTCTTTATGCCAAACATTTCTAAAGTACCGAGAAACACTTCCTTAGAAGTTCGCGTTTTCATTTCTTAGTGTCAGTAAAATCCACCTGAAGAAATCACTTTGTAAATCACAGAAATCCTGCATTTTGCTTCTGTTTCTGGAATAGACCCCAGGGCCTTGCAAGAACTGATAAGAAAATGAGTTAGGGTTTTTGTGAGGATACTTCAACAGAGAACAGGGCTCTTTGAACCCCTTTCCCTGAGGTGGCTCAGTCTCCATCCTCTTCAGGCCCTTCTTGGAGGCCCCTCCTCCTGAAGGGAGGTAGTGAACCTGCAGTGCAGAATTTTCCTATATGTCTGACTTGCCCGGGCATCACGTTGTTCCCTACCAGACCAGTCCCTCTGCCCCCTCCCACCATCATGAACAACTGGAGGGCAGCTCCAGCATTTCATTCATTTTTCTGCTCTTAATCTCCAGCATGACGCTGGGTAGGTAGTAGGTGTTAGAAAAACATTTTTGAATAACTGAACATAGAACAGACCGATTTCCTAAAAGGCTACTTCCATTCCTGTAGTCTGCTTGGCGCTCAGTGTGGGCTGTGAGGATCTTTCTGATAGGCTGAAAGCGGATCCATAAAGGCAAATGTGTGCATTTGTATGCACAGCACAACATCATTAAAAATCTAAGAATTTCTAAGGACTATTGAAATTTAATATCCATACCCTAAATAGCACATTTCTGGAGCTTATCAGGAACTCTGGATTAGTTAGGATAGGTTATCCCCTGTAATAAACATCCCCAGATGTAAGTGACTAATCACAGTAGACATTCATTGTTCATTGTTGTCACAACCTAATTCACTAAGGCGGGGATGATAGGTGGGTGCTCTGCTCCATACAGTCATTCAGGAGCCAGGCTCCTTCTTGTGACGCCCTCCTTTCATACATGACCTCCAGGGTCATGCAGCAGGGAGAGAGAGCGGAGGATCACATGTGGGACATCTTTATGTGCCAGGCCTGGCAGTGGTGTGCATTGTTCCCATATGTCCCTTTGGCCAGAGCTCAGTCCTGGCCCAACCTCAGTACAACCAGTTAAGAGATCCGGTTTAGCTGTGACTCTGAGTGTGGCGAGTTCACAGTACTGTTTGCTGCGGATGCCAGTTCTAAGAAGCCTGCATGCTAACACTTGGCATGCTGCAAAACTAGTACTACATGCACAGGTACGTGAAAGTACAGTTGGAATTATCAGCTTATTACTGACATTCAGTTGTTTGTGTTTTAAGATTGCTTCTACTCTTGCTTTTTAATTATAAATCACATGTAGTTTAGCATCATCAGTATCAACTAATTTGGAGTATGATTAACCCTACAGTTTGTAAAGCCCTGCTTTTTTGCATCAGCAGTATATTGTTTTCCAAAAACAAATATACGTAGATGTTTGTGATACCATTTTCAATAATGTGTTCACACCCATTTTTTTCTTTAACACTGGGCTGTTTTTCCACTGAAAAGTAGAAGTGGGTGGTGAGTTCACCAAAGCACATTCCAGATACACACACGTAAGATTCTGGGAGAGTTATCACAGCCTAAGGAAATTTTAATTATGGATTGCCTTTTATTATGACACTAGAGGCCCGGTACATGAAATTCATGCACTGGGGGGCGGGGGGCAGGGGGAGTAGAGTCCCCTCGGGTCAGCCTGCACCATCTCACAATCCAGGACTCCTCAGAGGATATCTGACTGCTGAACATCCCTCTCACAATCCGGGACCACTGGCTCCTAACCGCTCGCCTGCCTGCCTTATCCCCTTACCACTCGCCTGCCTGCCTGATCACCCCAAACCCCTCTGCCTGCCTGCCTGATCACCCCTAACTGCCTCTGCCTTGGCCCCCGCTCACCGAAGCTTTGTCCAGAATGACATCTGAAAGGTCGTTTGGCTGTCTGATCTAATTAGCATATTATATTTTTATTATTATAGATATTTTTTAACAGATACACAGATAGACCCCATTAGATAGAAACATGTGACCAAGTTCTGGGTTCTTGAAGAATTAGTGGAAGAGATGTACAGCATTTCCAGGACTTGTCCATGAACACCTCCTCCACACTCTTCCACATTGTCTCTCTTTCTCCATACCTAAGCTGGGGGTTGGCAAACAAGACTCAGGGCCCCATTCTGGCTTGCTACCTGTTTCTGTGAATAACATTTTCTTGGAGCACATTTCACCCAGTTTATGGCTCCTCTTATGCTAGTTGAGTAGTATAGACTGTTGGGCATGCATATTTATTAAAACTATTTTTTTTAACAGAAATAGTTTCTTGAACCCTGTGCTAGCTGAATGGAAATCTTTGAGAAGGACAGATTCATAAGATAGGAGCAAGCTGCATCCCTGAATGCATGGAAGGCCACTAACCAAGCACACCCATTGTGCCTTACCTGAATGATGAACTCTCGGAGTATTAAATTACTGCAATTTTTATTTATTTATTATAGCACTTAGCATTATTATTATTTGGCACTTAGGGCACAGGAGTCGTAGTACCTTTTGTTCTGTTCAAGAAAGCCTCCTTCAAAAAAGCTAAGAACCCACTCATTTGCAACACCAAACTCTGCTTTCTGTTTTTCAAGGCTTTTTGTATTTTAGGCTTTTCTCAATTGTGCAGCTTTTCTTTTACTATTTGTCCTCTCTGTTCTTGGGAAGTTAATTTTCTTACCTCTCTATCCTGAGGCCCTTAAACATTCCCATCTCCATTCTTTGGCTCAGCGGTGGAATGTACTCTTAACCCGCCTGCATGTCCTAAGCCTGTCTATCCTCGATGCTAAAAACTCTTCAATGCCTTTCCTTCTTTCTTGATCAGGAATGTGATGTTTCCCTTCTTTGGATTTCTGCTGATCCAGGAGGACAGAATTGCTGCACCATGTTTGTTGTTTCTGCGTCTTAGCCCTTCCTAACTAAGGTATATAAGCTTCTTCGCTGGGCTGAGTCTTTAGTGCTCATTGAACCTAGAGCAGGGCGTGTCCTCACCGCTAAGCATCAAGAGTTCCTGGGGATTTTTAAAAACTATGATTTGTTGAGCCCTACCTCAGACTGAATTAGAATCTTTAGTGAATGGGTCTGAAATAAAAATCAACATTTAAAAAACTAAACATTGCTGATCTAAATTAAATCATCTATTTCACAAGTACGTAATGATGAATAGGAATCAGGACTTGTGTTTGTATTCTCATAGCTGAACATACAACTTAGTCACATTAGCTTTGCGTGCAGGGTCCTAACTAAGGTAGAGGGCACAGTAAGAAGGTCAGCCTGACGAAACCAGGGAAGTGGAGAGGAGTATGAGCTTTGGCCGAATAGCTAAGGAACATCTGAATTATAGTAGGCATTGAAGGCCGGGCAGAAATTTCCGACTATTAAATACTGATGACATCTATGGATGAATTATTTCTCAGGATTCAGGAAGGACTGAAGAGCACCTAGTTAAGGGAATTGATTAATATAGGAGAAAATTGGTTTTATAGATCTTCTTCTGAAATTTAAATAATGTAGTTAATAATATAGGCATACTGTGAGAGATGAGCTAATATTTGATGTTAGAGGAGCAGCTTAACAGAGAGCTCAATTATGGGAGATATTTTTACCAGATAATTTTGTTTGGGAATACCCTTCTGTTTGTGACTGGCACAAAGAACATTCTTTTTCACCTCATTGTGTTGTGAGTATCATGTAGCAAACTCTTAGTCACTCTATGATAACTTAGTGGTATGTTTTTTAATATTATTTTAGTATTATTGATTTCAGTAGAGCACCTATGCATGTATTTCCATTTGCTGTGTTTGCTGTGCAAAAACATATCTTCTAATTGTCATCTGTACAAAAACATATCTTCTACTGATGAACTTAGGCCAATCCGTTATTTTTGAGTGCAGTACAGAAATAGTGTCTAAGATCAAGACCTCATATTTATCACTGATATTTTATGATTTTGCATGACAAGTATCCCTTTGGCCTTTGGGATCACGTTGACCTACTTCCCTCTTTCTCTTCTTTCTTTCTTCCTTTTCTTTTTTCCTTCACTAGTCAATTCCTGTCTGTGGTTATGTATTTCTTAGAAGCTATAAAAATTGGTTACCTAGACTGTATTTAAATGTGTTTCTAATTTTCACAAATCAAAAAAATCACCATAGGCTTACATTAAGTAACCATTGTTACGAAGTTATATGGCATGTCCATAAAAAAAGTGATGACTGTTTACTGTAGGCTTACATTTTAAAAGTTACAGTAAACAAATGATCCTAAAGAAAAGATGCTATTCTTAGTTTTAAAACCTTCCTTTTTATAATGCTCCTTATGGAGATTCTTTTCTTGTATCAGTGGAAAGCTCCGTCTTTGGCATAATAAACCTTAAGACGTACAAGGTTTATTTTAATAGCAATATTTTTGTTCATATTTGTCTAATATTGAAGATAATTTGCCTGACATTCTTGGCAGGCTGTAAATCTTTTACACATCTGAAAATTTGTAGTCTTATTTATGAGGTAGAAAATAAAAACTTGGAGATGATTTTTTAGATCCATTAATCCATTAATGCCCAGGGACTTACAGAATGTATCTAATGAAGCCGTGACTGGGAACATGAAGTATGCAGTGTGATTAGTTCCCACTAACTAGAACTTTATGTTTAACTCCCCAGATACTACTTGAAACTTTTTTACCCTTTGTGGTCCTAATACTCATTATAATAGTCTCATTAATTGGCACATCTCCCAATGGGTTAATTTGCAGATACCTACCATGCCGTCCTTTGGCTAAGTCACTAATGCAAATTGATATTTATAGACTTCAAAATTGAAAACAAAAAAAGCTCTGTACCAAAAAAGACAAACTTTGCTAAGTTGTTATTATTTTGAGCTGAGAGATTGAGATACAGAAAGACTCTGTGAGAGAAGAAAACAAGCCAAAAAAAAAATCCACAAAAACTACTGTAGGCTAATAAACTGATGTGAAAATTTCTCAATTTACAGCGCTTGACAGGTGCTAAAAGAAAAGCATCTTTAATTTTAATGTGTTGTTAGGACCTCTTTAGAGAGACTGTACAAGTTATTAACAAGGTCCTCTGAGACAGGAGACGGGTAATTAACAAGACCTATGGAGATATAGTTTAGGTAATTAACGAGCTCTTAGGCACTGGACACAGGATAACACATAGTGAGTCCCATAGTTAAAGAGAACAGGTTGTTATGATATGATCAAATACAAGACAGAGCATGGAAGTCCTCTTGAGGTTTCTGATAGGAAAGTATTAAAATTATATTCCAGTGACCCCAGCTCACCAAGTTTTGTGAATCAATATGTAATTTTTTTGCGGGGGGGGGTTTAACTTTTAATATATTATTTGAGAGGATTATTTCTGTGTCAAATCCAACAAACAGGAAAGCTTCTTACATGTAGATTAATAATCTTTGTTAATTGTCATTAGTGAACATGTGTATTTTAAGAATAATACATTGGAAAGACAAAAATTATATGTTTCTGAATTGTTTGGGATATTTATTGTTCTGTTTATTTTTTCATCTCTGGCCTGTTGTCTAAAATTGCCTATTCCAAGCTGACCTTACTTTTCTCATCCATGTGAAAACTGTCAGGACCCAGGCCTGAGAAGAGACTACCCTTCAACACTTTGGTTTTAACAATACGCACAGGTCCTCCGGTCATGCTCCTGTGGTACCAAGTCTGAGACTTGTTCTTCCCAATTTCAAATATTTGATCTAGTTATTTCCTGTGTAAATTTGAAATTGTTGGGGTGTGAATCGAGTTTTAAAGATTCAGAAAACTCCAACATCAGCAAACCCTTATTATAAACATTTTATATTCTACTAGAGGCCCGGTCCATGAATTCATGCATGTGTGGGGTCCCTCGGTCTGGCTGGCGATTAAGGCCAATTGGGGCCGCCTCGCCCAATCCCATTCAGGGCCGAGGATGGGGGTGTGGGGGTGTGTCTGCAGGAGGTTGGCCAGCTGGCAGGGGGAGGGGCAGTAGGGACTGCAGGAGGTTGGCTGTGGGAACGCACTAACCACCAGGGGGCAGCTCCTGCGTTGAGCATCTGCCCCCTGGTGGTCAGTACACATCATAGCTACTGGCAGTCATCCGGTCATCCAATCGTAACAGTTGCTTAGGCCAGTGGTCGGCAAAACTGCGGCTCATGAGCCACATGCAGCTCTTTGGCCCCCTGAGTGTGCCCATGAAGTTTCAATCGCACTGTACATGCACGCCCGCATGTGGTATTTTGTGGAAGAGCCACACTCAAGGGGCCGCAGTTTGCCGACCACTGGCTTAGGCTTTTATATAGAGAGATAAAGACTAAGTATGTAAAGAAAGCCCTGCAGGCCTCTGCTTTATTCTCTTGCTTCCTCACAGTGTGGCTAGGTCAGTCCAGCAACATGATTTTTTCCCCACCTCAGATTTGGTGATGAGATGATGTTTTCATTTTCATTAGTTTTTAAATATTTACTATATGCATGGAAATCAGAGGTTATGAAGATTGAAATCCTGCTGTTAGAGCTCATAGAAGCAGGCATGTAAATATTAGTTCTGAATTCTCTGCGAAGAACTGGACATGATATAGGTATTGGGGAACCATGAAAGATTTTTAAATTGGATTGTAATGTGATCAAAGTAATATCTTACAGATAGCCCTGTACCATGGGGGATCTGCTGGGGTCAGGAGTGGAAGGAAGAGTGAAGGACTTGGGGCAGGAAAACGAATTAGGAAATTAGTGTGATGGTTGAGGTGAAAGCTGATGGCGGTCCCTTAGCAGTGAGGATGGAAAAGAAGAAAACGTCTCTGAGATATTTTTCTGGTCTAAAATAGGACTTAACCATTCTACTTTTGTGTGTATATGTGGAGGGAGGAGAGGGGATTGGTAAAGAAGAAACAATGAGGATTATTCCAATGACATGTGTCCTCAATTGATGCTCTACCTGTGGTGAAACACAGCATTGTAAAGATTATTACAGCGACGTCAGGTCTGCAGCCTTTTGAATCAAACTTGGCATTTTAATCTTGATGGCGAGGTTTGAGGTTTTTGTTTTTAATAAGATGTTCTCTTGTTTAGAGGTTGTGTGTGTGTGTTTTAGAAATTATGTGTTTTGAGCTGATTGAGACAAGTTAAGCTAATATCAACATGGTAATAGCTCTGGAAAGGTTGATTTTTAATACTTGAAACACACTTTGGCTTCTTTGAACAGAAGAATGCAAATTTCTGTAATCACTTATGGATTCAATGCATTTAAAGTGTGTTCACCCTCGCATTGTAATTACTGTATGCATTTCTCTCCGGTGGTTTTAGCTTCACTCAGTTCCGTGTTGGACCTCTTTTGTCAGTTTCTCACTAGGAGAATGACTTCTGTTTCTTCTGTGTGCCCTGCCTTCCCAGGCCTCCTGCTTCCGTCCATGTTCAGAACATTTCCTTTGGGGCCTTTATAACCATATCACCTGTGATTACTTTTCTTCGTAACAATAAGCTTTAACTTTTGGAAAACAGGTACCGTTTCCATATATTTAATATATGGAGGGAGTGTTACCTGTGGCCAGGCTGTTCTAAGTAGCTGCTGCTGGTAGAAGATAAAGCGGTTAACTTGATTATGAAATGAGTTTTCTTTTTTGCATTTGTCTAGTGTCTAAAAACGTTAGGATCCAGACATTTGAATCCTTGAGCTTAAATTTTAAAGATAAATGAGGGCTCTTTGATTTGATGTGTTCCATACAATATAGTATAATATTATGTAACTAATTAAATAGAAATATATAAATATTAAGATATATAAATATTTATTACATATTAAGTATTATACATCAAATACATGTTTTTATGTATTTTATATATATTTTTAAGCTTAGAGCTCTTTCTGACCAAAGTGCTAAAACCTCTTGAATAGCAATTATATGAATCAGTTTGGTCTAGAATGAAACTTAATTCACATGGCCAGTGTTTAGAGCTGTTTTAACAGACACGTATGTCAAGCTCTATTAGGGCTGGGCTGAGTGGGTTGAAGCGATGGTTCATAGAGAACTGGTGGCCGCACCGGCTGGGCAGAGGGGGAAGGTGCACAGTGGCCTGTAATCCAGGCAGTGACTGTTGAACACGGTGCTTGCTGAGGGAAGGTGCAGTTTGCTCGGAATTTGGGAAATGCTTCTTTAAGGAAGAGGCCTTTGAGCCTGTTCTTAACCATAGACAATGATTTTATAAGATAGGGCATGAGTAAGAGAGTTATTTCAGCAAACAGCAGGAAAGCATTACAATTGTGAAGGAAGATTTTATAAATAGGGACTACGTTAGCTCTTTACCAACCACTTAGTAATTTCACCATTTCTTTTCTAGTCGGAGTCATGGAGCTATATATACTCCATGTCTGTCATTCCCCAAGGAAGTATGTTGCTACTTTAGGCGACCAAGGAGCCAATTAGGAGGGTGCCCTGCCGCACCTCTGCATTGAAACCTCTTTTTACGGAGCCTGGTGCGGGAATGGGGGCATTCAGGTTAATCACATATTTTGTTTACTTGAGGTGTACATTATATTTTTTTTCATATAGATTATTTTTAAATAAAATACCCAAACTAAATAAAAAATGTAAATCATCCATAATTTAATATTTGGTTCAGAAGATCTATTTAACTTCTTCCACCCATGGATTTTACAGAATAACATGAAAAAATATATATATATAGTAATATAGTACTCAGGTTTTGGAATCAGTGTGGTGTGGATTTGAGTCTGTTTCTGTTGAATAGCTGGGTGATCTTACTCACCTCTGAGCCTTATTGCTGTTCAGTGTTACATGGGATAAAACTATCTTGGTGTTATGCAGGGGCATGAACTCTGTGCCAGGGTAGCGTTTGCCACAGGGTGAGTCTGGAAACAGTGGCTCTCTCTGTGATTTTACTGCACAGCATCTACAGAACCACTTTACGTTAAGTGGAGTTATTAGTAACAAAATATTCTCAACCTTAAAAAACTTAAATGCAAGTGGAATTTAGGAGCTGACCAATAAAGGGTATACATTTGGAAGAAAACAATAAACTTGATAGATTTTCTAGTTTCTTTCAAGATACATGTTTAGTAATAGTCTTTGATGAAATAAACCAAACTACATTGAAATTTAGTAAAAGTAGAAAACTTATTTTGTTACTATACAAGGCAAAGGTATTATACCTACTATTGCTATAAATTCCTGTGTTCAGAAATTCTTGCATAGCACGAGTAAGGGCAGTGTGTGGTAGATTTCTAAGCTTCAGCTCTGCCTTAAAGCATGCTGACTAGTTCCTAAACTCACGTGCTGAGCTCAGATTAAATTGTGAAAGAGGACATCATAGCTTCCTCTCCAGAACTTGGCCTTGTCTCAGGTACAAAGCCAGCTTGGGTACTCTTGGCCAGGGGCATTGTGGGCTCTCTGTCCTTTTGTGCCGAGTCCAGCAGGACCCACGGGCAACTTGCCTCATTCCTGCCCTCATGGAAGAATTACCTCTGCTCAGGTTGTCCTCATTCTCTCCTCAGGAAAAAGCTGATCCAGGGCACTGGGTTGGCCTGGCTCATACAGAGACAGGGCCTGT